AAGCTGAGGCAGCACCTAATTCGAGCCAGCACAATAACTTGGGGGGGGGGGGGGGGGGAGGAAAAGGTTGTATGCCACTTTACAGACTTAGAAATTTTTTATTGTTTTAAGGTAGTATTGAAGCTGTATTTATGTCACTCATCAACTTGCAAGGGTCTCAAAGGGTGGAGCTAATCCAGAACTATTGCCTATTGTTGATGAAGGTGTGTGCCACAATAAAACATTGTGTGTACTTACTGTATCTTCTAGGTCAGTGATGGTGAGCCTTTTTCTTACGGCATGCCAAAATTGTGTTCCCAACTTCTGGTTGGCCTGTTTTTCATCCTCTCCAGCCTCTGGAGGCTTTCCTGAAGCCTAGGGAGGGTGAAAAATGGCCCCAATGGGCCAACCAGAAGTTCAGGAACAAACTTCCAGTTGGCCCGTTGGGGATGTTTTTTGTCCTCCTCAGCCTCTGGAGACTTTCCTGAAGCTTGAGGATGGTGAAGACAGCCTCACCCGGCCCTCTGGAAGGGCGAAAAATCAGCTGGCCTGCATGCAGATGGAAAACAACCCTATCTTTGAAAAGCATTTGGAAGTTGCAATTGGAAAAAAAATGCAGCAGGTAGAGTAATAATTGAAACTATATTTAGGGCTGGGGATAGGAGATGTGATTCCTCTGCCACACAACTTTCATTGACTTCCTGAACCAAACATTCACTTCCAAGCTAAATGTTACCTGTAAAAGCCATAAATGACTTGAATCCAGGATGTGTTTACAAGGTTGGACCAGAAAAGCTGTTGCCATCTGGTGCTGATAAGGTAATTATAAGGCTTGGTAAGAGAAATCTATAAAACATGGTACTTCTACACAGAGGTGGGTTACACTTACGTTAAGAACCAATTCACTGGTTGTGAGCGTGCGCATGCGCGCAAGCTTGCATCACTCGCATGCTTGGTTTGCTTGAACACCCCACTGTGGGGCTGAAAAGCAGCTTCAAACATGCAGCTAATCTACTCAGGCAGTTCCGGTGAGTAGAGCAGATGCACATGGAACTCAGTTGGGCTGCGTGGGCAAGGGAACGAGACAGAAAGTTAGTTATATATGGAAAGGATAGCACAGAGGTAGGTGGGAGGGCCCAGCCTGCAATCACAACTACCGGTTCTCCCAAACTGGTCTGACCAGGCAGCAGCCCACCACTGCTTCTACAACAAAGGCAGCAATTTCAGTTCCAGAACTGAGAAAGCTCAGAACAGAATTTCATCTGAAGATGTGTTTAATGCTATGTTTTTCAACTTCAGCAACTTTAAGCTGGGTGAATTTCTAGAATTCCCTGGATGGCTGGGGAATTTTGGGAGCTGAAGTCCACTTAGCTTACCATTGCTGAGCTTGAGAAACACTGTCCCCATGGGAGAGGGTCACATGAGAGAAGCAGTCACTGGTTCTGACTTGAAAAGGGACAATGCAGCAAAGCTTTCTGAAACTTAAAAAAATGCTGCCATTCTGTGCCTCTTTAAGCTATTTCCCAGATAACATAATGTTACGTGCAGTGCACATAAAAGCTGCAGCTCCATGTTCCTGGTAATATCTCATTTAAGCCCTTACTTAAACATTAGTAAATGGAATTAGGCATTTCAGCTTTGCATTTGTCGTTAGCCATTATTTTTTTTTAAAAAAGTATATCAATATCCACTTATGTGAAACCGTCTGTTACAATAACCAAAGGATCCTTCCCGAGTCAGACAGACGGCTGCTATGTTTGGGCAATATTGTCCAGAATTCCCAGCTACTATAGACAGTGACTGAGAAATCTGTGTTCTGTAGTTTTGGCACTTCTGATGGTTGGGGAAGATTGTGTTAGTTGCTGGCAGCCCTTGGGCCGGATGCATCATATGCAGGCCACGCCCATCCCAGCTCCCGACTGGGAAAAATGTCACGAAATGTCATGTGACGCTTGACCCCCATGTGTTAGTGGATCTATTCTGTAAGAGCTTTTATTTATTTTTGAAAAACCAGTCATTTGAATAATCATTTCCCCCGCATTTTTCTCCTAATAGTTAGAGGCCAACATTATGATTTCACTTTCTTGATTTTTCTTTTGCCATTTTGAGAGAATGGATTAACTACTATGAGCATTGCATAACTCCTTCTCTATTCTTTTATAAATGCACAAAAGAAAATCATCTGATGTATTGCTGGTAATTACATCTTCATGAGCACCGATGATTTTTCTAATTCTGTTCATTTATCTCCCACAGATTAAGAAGTAGGTCCAGGAAAAGCAGCAATATTGCTTAAAAATGTCAAAACATTGTAGTCATATCCTTATTGCAATGAAGGAAGATTATAGTCATCTGGGACCGTAGTCAACCACTCATCCAACAGAGAAGACTCCTGCTCCATCTACAGCTTGTGCCAGACTCCGCATGGAAGCTGTCAGTTGAAATCAGTGTGAAGGAAGGGCAGGTGATTCAAGAAAATGAAAGGTCAGCAACATTTGAAAAATTATGTAAGAATTGCCCCTTTCAGATTGCTTATGAATTTTGTAACATTGCTGGTGGAGAACAGATCTTTCAAGGGCTTTGAACTTAGAAAGAGGAAGGACTAGAGTTTAGGCCATAAGAGTTCCTTCAACTCAGGCCATTTCCAGAAAGGATCTAGTAAGACTCCTGCCTGAAACCATAGAAACATACTGTATTTTTTGGACTATAAGACACACCGGAGTATAGGACGCATCAAGATTTTGAAGAGGTAAATTTAAAAAGAAGTTTTTGCCCTCCCTGTTCCCCCCACCAGGAGCACTCAGCAGGTCTCCCAAACCCTCTGCATGCCCCATTTTTTTGTGTGAAAAACTGGCCCCTTTTCACTCATTTTTGCCCTCCCCAGTCCCTAAGAACACTCTACAGGCCTCCCAAACCCTTTGCACACCCATTTTTTGTGAAAAATGGGGCATGCAGAGAGTTTGGGAGGCCTGCAAACTGCTCCTGGAAGCCAGGGAGGGCAAAAATGTAATGCATGGGGGTTTTAGGAGGTGAAAAAGGATCCATTTTTCGCAAAAACAGGCCTGTTTTTGGGGGCTGGGGAGGGTGAAAATGAGCAAAAAATGGAGTGTGCAGAGAGTTTGGAAGGCCTGCAGAGTGCTCCTGGGGGCATGGGAGGGCAAAACACCCCAATTTTTGTAAAAAACTGGCCCCCTCTCACTCATTTTTTCCCTCTCCGTTTTTGCAAAAAATGGGATGTGCGGGGTGGGATTTTGGGAGACCAAAAATGCTGTATTCAATGTATAATATTGCATCCAGATTTTCACCCTCTTTTTGGGGGGGAAAAAGTGCATCTTATATGCCAAAAATACGGTACATTTTGGAAAATAATAAGCAACTACAATAGATGGATCAATATTCTGTTGAAAATGTGTCAGAAAGATGGTGAATGTGTCATTGATAAGAAGATACATTGCCATGTTTTCTGAAGGAAGGTGGTGGTCTGCCCCTTTCTCAACAAGTCCTAGCTCAACCCGGTCATTACTGACAATTCTTGATTCATTTCCAACTTTCCATTTGGAGAAAAGTTGTGGGGAAAATTATTGGCCCATGGCTGCAGAGGGCCTTGGAGAAAACAAATTACTGGCCCATTTTAGTCAGGCTTCAGACTCAGGGTTAGCATGGATCCAGAATCTCTGGAGTATAATCAATACACTCTGCATAGGGCTTATGTAACTTTCCTGGTTCTGTCTGATCCAGTGATGGGCTTCAAAACTTTTTGGAACCTCTTCTGTAGGTGTGGCCTGCTTTGTAGGAGTGGTTTGCTGGCCATGTGACTGGATGGGAGTGACTTGCCAGCCATGTGACTGGGTGGGAGTTGCTTGGCAGTCATGTGACCAGGTGGGAGTGGCGAAGACGATGTCACTGAATTCTTTGCCCCAATGGATCTACAAAAAGATATAAAAAAGGAAATTTATTATTTTGTGTTAAATCTTAAATAATCTTAAACTTAAATAANGGAGGGAGGAAAGGAAGACTTACCTATTGTTGAAACCACTGTGCCCACAAAATAGAAAGCTCCTGTGAAATCCCATCTTGGTCGAAGGGCATCTACCCTAATACCTGCAGCCATGGCTGCCTCATAGCTTCTTAAGAAGGCCTTCAGCTCAGGGACACTAATGTTGAAGATCTGGCTAAAGTTGTGAAGGGTCCCGTTCCAACGATGCTGTGCTTCTGCTTCAGATGGGCTCTCAATAGCTGAGAAGATGGTAGCTCCAACAGTCAGGTATGCCCCAATGAGTACTGCTAAAAGGACAAACCTACCATTGTCCTCATTGAAATGTGACATGCAGCAGCAGCCTTTAAGTCTCCTGATAGACATCATCCAAATTTCAGCACCACAGAGGTGATGCAAAATGACCAACACCTCATTGGGGGGACTGGCATGGAGATATTATCCAATTAAAGCACCCAATCGAGGGAAAAAGATCCTTATTTTGAAGGGTTTCCCTTCTGAGTCATGGGTATTGGCTTGTCATGCTTATGTCAATGCAGGCTTCCGTTAACTTGATTTCCACTGAACTCTCCCACATCAGCCTAGGCATATCAATTTTCATAGAACTATTTCGGGAATTCTGTTGCCACTGAAGCCCGCTTCCAAGCATTGGCTGTGCCTTGTAAGGAATAGGTTTTTTCTTCCACCTCAGATAGTTGCACTTGGCCATGTTCTTTGTAGTCTGGCCTTTATCCCGATCAAAACCGTCCAAGTCTAGTTAAGAGAAGAAATAAACCAGTCAAAATTAGTATTTCTGATGTATGATACAGAGGGCCAATAGAATCTAGGATAGTCCTCCTCCTAAAGGATGCCAAATGTTCATTTCACCTCCCATCGTTTCCTTTTCAAGCTTGCCTCAGACTTTGCAATGAATCTCCTTCCGTTATGCATCACCAGCATGGCTCTTCTTTTCTGAGTCCTTTAAACTCTATGCAGGTAGCATTCTCATATATTGAATACACTTGGAACACTACAAAAGACAGCTGCATTCAACACATTTTATAAAGGAGAGCAAATGCTCAGCACATTTACTCAAATGTCACCACTTGACAAACACACAGAAAATGGAAAAAGCTGGTTGGATAAATCAACTTAAGTTAAGCTTTATACAACCAGCTTTTCCCATTTTTTCTGTATGTTTCAACTAGATGAGTATTGATCAGCTTCATGATTGAGGAAAACCTGAATCAACAAGACAACACCCATGTAACTTCATTTAGATCTCCACTGAATAAACTCTTTCTAATCACTTCCAATTGATATTTGTTCAATACAAGATTTGGAAGTTTGGGATATTCAAGACTGCATTTGTTTGTGCTGCATATTACTTTTCCCCTCCCCAGTAAAGTTATTCATGTCTCTCGTAAATCTGAATTAAAATGAGAAAACAGTGCCCTTCCATATTCAACCACTACTGGATATGCAGTTTAGCATGAAGATAGCAGAAAGCAGGCTAAGATGAGAAGGTGAAACGGACCCGCTTCTCTAATTCATCAAGACAGATATCTCCCCCCCACTCCCCGGCAGCCCAGCATAGCCTTTCCCATATTAGTTCATTCCTTGTAGATGACAATATAGGGGGGGGAAAAAAGCAAACGAAGCAAATAAAATGTAGTTTGCCAAAGCATATTCCTCAGTGGCTTTTTTTTTTTTACCTTTCTTTAGATTCAGGTGAAGTTACCTTCTTGGGACTCTTCTTTCAACCTCCGCTTGAGTAGCTCTGATTTTTGCCATTTGCTCGCAAAGTCCCGGCCACCCACGCCAAGCCTCACAACCCCAACCTGGTTTCCCTTGAATCTAATCATAAGCCAACACACACCATGTCCTTTTATTCACAGCAGTTCGGAGTCCTCCTGTGACATGCAGTTGTAAGTCTCAAACGTGAATGACGGCTGGGGTGGGTGGGTGGGTGGGAGGATCGCCTCCTTTTCTCGCACGGCTGGGTCGCGGTGATGGGAGAACAGCTGGGAAAGGAAGTGCGGCTGTTCAGCACCACGGATAGTGCACTGCAGCTCCGCGTGCGCCCGCGACTCCTCGCTCTGTCCCCGCCTATAGTTGAGCTTCGAGGGCTGGGCGGGAGCTGGGGCCGCTCCAGCTCGCGAGTTGTTCAATAACCAACTCCGCCTTTTCTTTGCCTTCTCGGCATTTCTGTTGATTGCGGAACATACAGCGGGAGCGCTCAACTCGAAACGGGAGGAGGTGGAGATGTATTTCTGCCTTGCCCATTAGTCGGGAAAGGTGTACGTGGTGGCTGCCGCCGGTTTTGATCGGCAGGTATTTTCGATAACTCTCCCTTTTCCGGGGTTGCGAAGTGGGCGAGAGGCCGATGCATTGCTGAATGGTATCAAAACCGCAGGGGAAAGACCAACCACAAACACTCGATTCTGAAAGAGGAGTCGTCTTTTCAGAGCCTGCAAAACGGGACCAAGGTTCGCCACTTTTCTTTCCAACGAAAGTCTAAGAGACTTTTCAAATATTTTTCTGTCACTTTACTTCTGTGGGGTTTTGGGGTTTTTTTCTCCTGATTTAAAGAAATGTGCCTCACAGAGATGCTTGGGTTATGAGTGTCTAAAATTTGTTTTGAAAAAAGTCTATTTCGTTCTCTATATCAACATGTAATACAGGTTCTTACAGAAAGCATGGTTGGAAATGGAAAATCTGCCTATGTCCATGTTTCAGGGCTCTGGCTGGAACTCAGCTGGACCACCTAATATATGCAGATGTGGGGAACAAAACTCCCATCCTCCCCAAGGACATGAGGAAGTGATAAGAGTTGCAACTTGCACCTAGAGGACACCATGTTAGGGAATGGTTTTGGCATTGTTTACTTGGCTGACTTGTGTCTTTGAGTCAATGTTGATTCCTGGCTGAAGGAAGCCCCACTGTTTGTTGTGTACAATAATAATATTGTTCAAGAGATGTGTTTTGTACTTTGAAAGAACAACAATGGAAAAGACGTAATCTGAGCATGTTGGTCTTCAGTTCTTAAATGTCTTTCTCAGTCTGTTTAAGATGTACTAAAGCAATTAATAAGCCAAGACATATCAAAGATTTATATTAAAACTGGGAACTATAGGTCATTTTCTCTCTCTTCATTTTATTCTTAGACTCCTACGAGGTTGGGTACTTAAGGAAATAGCAACAGGAGCATAGTTAAAAGGACATAATATAGTGTAGTCATGATTTGGACTGAGATTAATCGAGGTTTAATTTAAGATATAATCATTATGCTACATTGGTCTATATGGCAGAAATGCTACCCATGAAGTTTGGATTACAAGGTTCAAAGTCCATATACTTAGCCATGGCAGCTGATAAAATAGGCCATTTCCCATAAACCAATTTCTTCTGTGCTTCAGGTTGGATCTTCTCATGTACCATCTGGCTTCTCTTTGGCAGACTAGACATTTCCTAAGTAGAAAGAGTACTTAGTGGATATAAAAACAACAACAATCTAGAAGTGTTGTGAAAAGTTGCTTTTGTGCTTCAACAATGGGATAAGAAAAGATACTATTTCTGTAAAGTGTCTACTTGTCCCCACCATTGTTTAAAAATAATATCACACAGGAGTCAAGAACAGGCAGTGCTAACATGCCTGGGCAACTCCAAAGCAAGCAATCCAAATTGTATTTCCTTCCCACAAGGATCTCCTAGAGAAATAAGCAGCAGAGATCAGGAGGTACAAAAGGCAATGGAAGGCACAATATTGTGGGAATTACATGGATCTTCATGTGAGCTCACACAGTTTTTAATGAAACAAAATTCTCCTTCCCTGTTGAATGACAATGATTTTAAAATGAATTTCAATAAGAAACTTTGTGTGGAAGCAGCCTTGGCCTCTAGATTATAGGAAATCCTGGTCAACATGCCAGTCATGAGACAGCATGTCACTGACCCACATTTTCATGTTTTGAATTGATTGCCTGAATCAATTCTTCCTCTTACTATTCTAAGAATGGGAAGATGAATCTTTTGGGATCAAATCAAAACTACTCTGAAGCCTTCTGGATGTTTTGGACTATAACTCTTACCATTCCCAGTCATTTTGACTAAAAGTTAGGGCTATGTGATATAATACAATACAACAGAATCAGAGTTAATGTTTAATGACTGTACATGATCTCCTTTACAATGAAGGACAAGACAAGATAAAACTTAACACAACATTGTCTATTTTGTCCTGTGCTGTTTTTCTATTTGCAGGAACATTTCCCCATAAGTAAAGATTCTTAAAAATTAATCCTCTAGCCAGCAATCTGTAACAAGACCATCTATTTCAGCTTTCTGCAACCAAGCTGGCTGAACATTATGGAGCTGAAATCTAACACGTCCAGAGGGTGTTAGATTGGGGAGGATGATCTATTCTTTTCCCTCATCCTGATGTATGCATAAACCGATATGCCCTTCCTTGATTATAGTTCAGAAAATAAATCCAAAGGTAGGCTTGTTCTTATCATAGGGTGAGTAACTGTGTAAACAAGCTTTGGCTAATCAAATGTTATAAGAGGTTTCCTCTGGCCACTTGGATAAATGAGGTTATAGAGTACAGACCAACAATAATGTAGAATTAACTGGCCATATCCATTACTAATCAGGTTGAGTCTTAATCTGCAAGAAATATGTTCTTATTTTGCCTCTTCTTGACTATTTTTAATCAATCATTTAAACATGTTTTAATGAAGGGCCAATCATAAGCAGAACAGAAGCTCAATTTCCTGTGTTTATATACACAGTGTTGACTTTATTATTATTAAAAAAAGAATAGGCCTTGTCTTATGAAACCAAATTGTTATGGGAATAATAAATATTAGTTTAGCTATTTGGAACAATGTGCTTGGAGAGAAAGGGGAGAGGAGAGAGGGAGGGAGGGAGAGAGAGAGAGGGGAGAGAGAGAGAGAGAGACAGAGACAGAGACAGAGACAGAGAGAATGGAAATGCATTCATCAAATCTTTAATTAAATCACCAAGGTAGATCAAATCTCAGAACATCATGTATTTCTTTTAAAAAATGCAAATTTCCAATTGCCATTTTTTAAACTGATGCATTAACACCATTGA